GGAGAAGTCACATCACCTCTCTGTTCCTTAGGTTCCCCATCTGATGGGGGGAAAATAGTGCTTCCCTTATGGAGTCTCTGTGGGGATTACAGCGTTTAACCTTTGCTTATAGCATTTAGAGCAGAGCCTGGCACATGCCAAGTGTAGGAGAAGTTTAGCTGTCATCGTCGTTATTATTCCTGGTGTTTTTCCTCTGTTGTGTCTTTTTCTCTTCCCCATCCACAGGAGCCCCTTGTGCTTCCCCACCCCAAGGGCCGGAATCCAAACTGGCTTCTATAATCTAAGGCACAGGGTGGGACGATGGAACGCTGGAACATGGAACAGTGACCCAGAAGGGAAGGGGAAAGGAGGGAGTAGTTAGGGAGGGGAGGAGAAGCCCAGGAAAGAGGCTGGAACGCTTCCCCAGACTTGGGCGGTGGCCTCATGGTTCTGCCAGCGGTGAGGACAGTGTCCAGCTCCTGGCAGTGCTCTGGGGAGGTGTGAACCTCGAGGGACATGGCTGTGTGATATCCTTGTTCCCAAGCTTTGCAGGAAGCAGAGACACAGGACACAGCCCTTGGAGGTTCAGCCAGTCTGTGCACAGTGATGGGGAACTGCAGACCACAGGGCCCCCTTCTGATGTGCCAGGCCACAGGGCCACCCTCTGGTAATATGGCCTCAAGGGTAGGAAGAAAATGACTCAGGACATTAAATGTCCCACTTGGTATCCAGGGGGCTCCAAACAGATTAAATCTGATTTTGAAAAAAATTTTGTAAGAAAAGCTATGTCATATAACCAGGGTCAGGGGGGGACCCAAATCCATCTCTGCTCCTCTGCTTTCCAGGTGCGGCGTTTATCCTTACTGCTCTTCCAGGACTTTCTCATTCTTCTCAGAGTCAGCTGCAACTTTCAGGGTGACATGTATCATGTGCACCCTTGTGTCCCCGTGAGCTGGCTGCTCACTCCCTCATGCCCAGGCTCTGGTGAGGCTCCTGGGATTCAGTCAGTGCCTCCCATTCTCTCTGCCAGCTGGTGCCAGGCCTGCCCACAGCACTGCCTGCATGACTCAGCCTGGGAGTTGCAAGGTGTGCGGCCACTTTCCAACACACTCTGTGGCTGTGGCACACTGGATACAGCCGTGGTGGAGAGCCACTGTGTAGGGCCCATCCCTTCGAGTGACCAGCTCAGAGGTGGCATGTGGGAGTCTAAGAGGACCTTGATCTCTCTTGCCTTGATCCCAAAGGGCAGGAGATTACTGGCAGAGCTGGGAAGTAGCCCCCTACCCAAGGCTGGAGGGGTGTCCCCAAGACCCCTTAGGAAGTGCCAAGGGAATCACAGCTAACACCAGCTGGTCCAGGGGCTGGGTGTCAGAGTGAGCCACACATGTGGGCCAGCACAGGAATCATGAAATCATGCAGAGATCTCCATTGTGAGAGGGGCCTCAGACTAAGGAGCTGATGGTCCTCTTTCTCCAGAGTCAAACTTTGAAGACTCTTTTTTCATGGAGTCTGTGAACATCCTTTGTAGATCCCTCGCCCCTAACCAAGCAGCCTATTGAAGTCCCTCCTCGAAGTCACTTTGAGGATTATCAGACTCTTGGTCTAGCAGTCAAATGGCACATAGGGCCTTCCCTGCCATTCACACCTGAATTATGGAATGTCTTCGTAACACTGGCCCAATTACAGCTTCTCACAATAGGGGGTTACGTGTGGCTCAAGAAGAGACAGGACGGGCCCTAGATGAGGAGTGCCTCTGCAATGAGTAGAGGGGGCACAGCCTGGAGCTGTGTCTGGGGCTGGGAGAGCAGAGAAGGTAAAGCAGTGGCCTGGATGGACATCTGGTTCTAAGGTGTCCCATCATGCTGTTTTTGCAGACCACCTACCTTGTCCAAGGCAGCCAGGCACTCTATCTCCTCCAGTGAGCTTTCCAGAAGGTGCCAGGCTCAGCTCCTAGTTTGGGGTCTAATGTCCCTGCTTCAGACCCCAATAGTGGCATCCCACAAGCTGGGTGATGCCCCAGAGAGAACTAAGCCTCAGCCTTAGCAAACTCTCAACCTGGCTGGCTACCAAGTCCAGCGGTGGCCCTGCAGCCTGCCTCCTGCCCCAGGATGGACCTTCCCTCTTGTTCTCCTTTTCTCCCTCCCTTTCCTTCTCTCCCCTCTCTTCTCTTATTCTTCCCTGTCCCCTTCCCTGCCAGACTAGAATGAGCATTGGGGGTCAAGGAGCTTGGCCCCTTCAAGATGCAGGTAGGGACACTGAGGCCCATTGGAGGGGAGAGTTAGGGCCACCGGCATTTTCTCTGCTCTTTCTGTCCTTTCCAATCTCCATGCGTGTCCATGCTATCCTTTAAGGGATTCTGTGGTTCACACCAAGGGAAAGCCATAGGAGGCCCGCTGCACCTCATGGGGTTCCCACAGGCAGTACCAGGAGTGGTGGTGAGCCCCTGAACACTGGGGCAGAATGAGGAAAGGACAGGGAAGGATTCTGGGCAGGTGACCTTGAGGGCCTTTATAGCCCAGGTTGAGTCCAGCACACCAGTGCCCAGAAGTGCTGATGGAGACCCTCTTGGTCTGTGAAGGCCAGAGGGAGGTGCTGCCTCAGGAATGGAGACCATACCTACCTGCACTTCCTGGCCTGGGGAAGCCTGGAAACCTTCTCCCACTCCATGTATGTCCATGGCAGGGGAAGGGGTGGGAAAATCCTGAGTGAGCTACATAGGGTACCCCAGTTTATGTGGAGAGAAGGAAAGGCTAAGGAAGGCCTCTAGGATTGGGGTTTTAACTGGTCCTTGAAGGACAGATGGGAGACTAAGGGGGGCAGGTGAGCCTGCTTCCTGTGGCCTGGCCTCCCACGGGATATCTCTCCCTGCACCTGGGTTGGAGAGGGGTCCAGGTGATCCACTTCTTCCCAGATGAGCATAAGAGAGAAGCCAAAACCAGGTGACAGCAGGGCCAGAGCAGAGGATGTTGTTCTCCCTGTGGTGGCAGAGGCAGGGAGAGACCTGGCTCCCACTCAGCTGAAGGCCTCCTGACTGCCCCGCACCTGCCAAGCCCACTGCCATCTTACAACCTTCTCTCCCCTCCCCCAGACACAGACACTCCATCCTGTAGGGAGGCAGAATACCTCGTGAGCCCTGCCCTGAGGCAGTGCTGTGAGGGGGACAAGGGCCACCCGGGGTCCTCGTCATCATGGCTGTATTCCTTTTCTCTGGGTGGGAGCCCTCTTTCCTTTCAGCCCTGACCCCAGAGATCTGTCTCAGGAGGTTCTGCTGGCATGTGGAGACTGGCCCATGTGTCCCCACCCCTAAGGGCCTGAACTTCAGGTAGAGGTTTGTATACACATGGGGACAATGTGTCAGGAAGTCTCCATGTTTGAGCGTCACCCACTTCCCCATGGTTGGTATGTAATGTGCTTCTTTAAGGAAAAGCCCCCACTCTGCTCCCCTTCCACTCAGCCCTGTTTTCTGTGCCTGATACCCGCCCCTAGAAAAGCGTACATGCCTGGCATTTGGCCCTGGCCCAGGCTCAGAGACATGGGTTCTGGCACCGTGACTGCCCTAAACTTGCCTGTGGCCCTACACAGGTTCCTATCTTGAGCCTGTTTTCTGACCTAGGAATTGAGGACATTTGAATCTACCTCATAGGGGCCTTCTCAAAGTCTGGAATTGGGTGGCTTTGTCTGACTCCTTCCTGTTTACTCCTGGGGGTACCTAGAAAGGCAAGGGGGCAGGGTGCAACAGGACAGTCACTCAGAGGCACTCATGGGCCACTGCTGTTTCCCAGCTCCCACAGTCTCCTGGGCCAGCCTCAGAGGAAAAGTGGCAGGCTGTGGCAACCATCCTATGCCAGGAGAGTCAAATCCTAGCAAGACTTGGTTGGGGAAAAGTGGGGTGTAGCCATGCCTCTCTCCCCATCAGAGGACCTACTGCCAGGACCCCTGAGGCAAGGATAGTGTCAGAGCCCGGAACAGAATCTCCTTAGGGGATCTAAGTCCAAAGAGGCTAGTCTGAGGGTTGAGGGCCAGCACCTGGAGCTCACCCAGGGCCTCCCTACAGCAGCAGCCATTGGCTTTTCATGTGAGCCAGGCGGAGAGCATTTCCATTTTATTGATGGGGAAACTGAGGTCCAGAGGTAAATAGCATGTCTGGCCAAAGTCATAACCAGAATTAGTCTGGATTCCAGAGACCTGGTTCTTGGCCCAAGTCTCTTTCCCTTTCTCACTAGCATTCCTCAGGTGGGAAGAAAGAGACCTGGCAGAAGGCAGGGGGTGCAGAGAAGTTCTGAGGGATGGTGGGAAAGGAAGGAAGAGGGGCTGAACCCTCCTTTTGCTTCTTCCAGACCCAGCCCAGTGTTTAGGACTTCTGGGATGTTGCTAAGGCAAGAGAGCTTGCTTCGACTCTCTCCATCTCCCAATCCCACCTTCCTTGACTCTAGGACCCCCTCGTTGCCTTTGCTCAATGCTACACCCTCTGCCTCCTTTCTAGAAGGAGGCCTCCTTTCAAGTGATGGCTCCCCCAAGCCTCTCAGGTACCATCTCCCTAGGTGTGGCATATACCCAGTCCCCATGTGGTTGTGTGAGTACCCTGGGGGCAGGAACTGTGATTCTCCTGTGTGTGCCCCAGCACCGTGCCTGACATTCAGCAGCTGGGCAAATACAAGGGAGCAAGTAGCTGGTGGGAAGAGTGATCATAAGAGGGCGCTCATGGGAAGGAGGCTGCAGGCTGCGGGGACGTGCAGATGAAGGGGTGGGCATCACAGCAGGGCCCAGGGGTTGCAGCCACCCAAAACCTGCTGGGGCCCTCACCCAGTGGGATGGGGTTCTTTTCCAGGGAAGTGGAGTTGGCCTTGGGCTAAACTCACAGGGTCTCCACCATGGCTTGACACCCTCAGACTCTGGGCACCTGACAGGTTGGTGGCTGGTCTTTCCACATTTTGCAAGAAGAAGGATGAAGCCTGAGGAGAGCCCCGGAGCCAACCCAGTGGTGGCCATCCTGACCAGCAAGCCACATGCAGAGCCCCAGAGTAGAAAAACCTTGTTTTATTCAGCCCCGACCTGGGCAATCTTGCTCTGTGGTATGGCCAAGATATAAAAAATAAAAACCAACAACTGGCAAAACAATGTTGTAGAGAAGAGTTAGGTACAAAATAGGGCCTGGCATCCAGAATCCCTGTGGTTTGGTCCACGTTTGCTCCCTGAGGCCGGCAGGGAGGGATGCCCCTGGCGTCTAGCTGCCCCCCCTGTTGGTTGGGGGACTGGGCTCCTCCTCCGTGAGAGGCTGCCTGGGGAGCAGAGTCTGCTTTGGAAGGGGAGAGGTTGTCTGTCTGTCCCTCTCGGAGATCAGGATCTAGAGGAAGAAAGAGAGCAGGTCAATGGTGGCTGCAATGTGGAGCCCCCAGGCCTCCCCAGCTGGGGCTTTCCTTCCACACTCCAGACCCCTTGAGGAGAGCTCCTGAGGCACAGGCTCCCTCAGGAATTTGGGTTCAGGGAAAAAGGGCTAAGTCCTCAGCCCTCTGGATTCCCACCCACCCAGGGCCCATGGTCAGTATGCCCCCCCCCCTCACCCCAAGTCCAGATTGTTTTCTAGGCTGTGTCAGTAGAGCTGCTACTGTCTGGAAATACTTTTTGGCTTGTTTTTTCTAATTTAGCCCTTAAAAAAAAAAAAAGCCTTCTTTTTCCTCTTCAGAAACATGATGGAAACCCACAGGCGTCAGTCCCTTGGCCTTTCTGGGAATGCTCCATCCGGCTTCCTGTGCAGGCTGGCCCAGCAGCCGCCTGTGGTCAGGGTCACGGGGACGCTCTAATAAGACCTGGGCCTTTCCAAGCACTTATGTAAAGAGGCTTCGGAAGGAAGGGCCCCGGCCTCTTCAGCCCGCAGGCTCCCCTAGGAACAGAAGGGAGGCCCGGCTGCTTCTCTGTCTGACTTCTGAGGGCCTCCTAGGTGCTCAAGGTACTTCTGGGACATGGGACACTGCCCCAAAGCCCCTAGAGGGAGAAGCAGGCTCCTTGTCTGCCTTAGCCCTCAACAGCCTTCCTTCCTTCCAAGTTCCCTAGAGTTACTTCCCAGAAACCCTCTACCACAGGTTGCCCCAAAGGCTGAATGGCTGATTGAGGTAGGCCTGGGGAGCAGGAAGGTGCTGGAAACTCAGGCAAAAAACAAAACAAACAAACAAACAAAAAAAAACCCCAACTGCTAGAGCTGAAGCAGGTGTCAGTGATTTCAAACACCCTCTGTGCCCTGGGTAATTGTGACCTGATCCTACTCATGAGGAACCCAATCTCCTTATTGAATTAGCGGCTGCTGTTTCCGTTTTTAATATTCATGGTGTGGTGTGTGTGTGTGTGTGTGTGTGTAGCAACAGGGTGGAGGTGGGAGGTCGTAAACAGGTTAGAGGTAGCAGCCAAGGGTGAAAGAGCTGTTTCTAAATGAACTCTGACCTAGGCCACAGAGACTGAACCCTGACCCTGGTGACATACTGAGCCTTGACCTTGGTCACAGATTAAACCCTGATCCTAGTCACATGCTGATTTCTGACCCTAGTCACACACTGAGCCTTGACCCTGGTCATAGACAATCCACAGGCTTAACCTTTCATACCTACCTTCCATTAATGAGCCTACACTTTTGGGGCAAAATGTTTCTCTGGGCCTTGGAATCTCCATCACCTGTCCCTATTTGATGGACTAAAGCTCAAATTTCCAGGGCTACTTTTTTTTTCCAATGGACAAACTGCTTTGATCTGATCAATTAAATTCCCATGGAAGGGGTGGGGTTCTTTGTGAGCTTGTAAGCAGGGGGTCCCTCTGCCAAGTGCTTCCTGTGAGGAGAGACACTGAGGACCCTGCTCAGCAGTCAGGTGACAAAGCCTAGGCCCAGATTTTATTAACTTCCTCCACCATGGGCCTTAGGGACAGACAATGGTCCATTCTAACCAGAATTACTTCTAATTTGGGCCTGTGTGATGGTCACAGCTGCCATTAATTGAGTGCTACAATGTGCTGGGCTCCTGAACATGCAGATGTCAGGCCTGTAAGTCATCATCCCAAGCTTATGCCAGAGGTATCTGTTTATCCTTAAGAAAAGTAGCTCAGAGGGGAAAGGTGAATTATCCAATATCACAGAGGGGAGAAGTCACAGAATTCTCTGCATGAGATCACATAGTCATGCCCTTGCACTGAACCACTCTTCCTTCTGCTGGTTTCCACTTGAAAAATCTTAGGGAGCCACATCACTGGGCCCTAGATCAGCACTCCACAGATGGAGCCCCACCATAAACACTCAGCTTGGGACTGGCTTGGTCTAGGCTCTTCCTGCTGGGCCCAGCTGTAGCTGTGTTCAGTGACCCCCCTCCCCCAAGTGCAGGTGTCTTAGGAATTTCATGTGGCTCTGCCTGTTCCCCAGTCAGGAAAGTGGCTGGGGTAGGAAGGATGCTGGGTAAACACGTACTGAACAATTTTGCAGTTTGTTGTAGAAACATAGCGCCCTGTGTAGTGGATGTTGCATCTCACCACATTGTTGGTGAAGTCAGACTCCAAAACAATGTACTTTGGGTTCACGTGCACCTGGAGAGGAGAAAGAGAGAGAAAGAAACTTAGTCAAGGAGGCTGCCCTTCACCTGGTCACCAGAGAAAATGGTGGAGAGGCAGGCTGACAGATAGACACGGAGGTGACAGAGGGAGACAGGGAGATGAAGAAAGACCACTAGAGACCAAGAGACGGGGGGAAGGAGGTACCTAGAATGACATGGAGAGGAAAGAGGCAGCTGGAAGTCCAAGAAAACATTATCCAATCTCCTTTCTTATCAGAATATGGGAAGCTTCCCCAGAGCCAGAACCTGGACCAGGTGTACCCTGCACAGGGCCTTTGGGGTCAGAGAGGCCAGGGCCTACCTCAGAGAATGCAGTAACAAGGGGCTGAACAGTCAGTGTCTCCAAGGCTCACAGTCAATCACTGAGCATCCTTATCCAGATAACCCATGGTGGGGGCAGTCTGATGCCAGGTAGCATCTCCTGCCTTGGAGCCCAAGGAACCTGATATTCATTGAGATGATGGTCTGGGCATGACTTGTAATTTTTGTCTGGAAAGGAGCTACTGGGACATAACACTGACAGGTTGGATTAATTGGGGTAGGGACCTGCATTATTTGCAGAACACTGAAGAACATACAGTAGTGTTATTTTAAACCCTAGCATGCTCCTTATGGGCAGGAACTGAGTATTGCTAGGGGTCTGTATGCCCAGCATAAGAATGAACTCAGGTCTTCACTCATGTTTGATGAGAAGCTGAGGGAGGGATGGAGAAGAATATCCTGACATTCCCAGCCCAGGGAGAGGCCTGGCAGGGTCATGCGTATGGAGCCAATTGTGAGGAGTTCAGATGGGGCTGCAGTGAATTGCTTCTGGCTCTTGCTTTCTGGATGCAGCCTCTCTCCCAGTCTGTCTTTCTGTAGGGAAAGACACCTCCTGCAAGCCTGAACTCCACTGCCTCCCTGCACTGAACTTCTGCATGGAGTGGGTCCAAGAGAACTGGCAGAGTGACCCCCAGCCTCGCTTAGTATCTGCACAGAGTAGGCTGAAATGGGGCTTCCCCAGGTGAGGCCTTGATGGAGTGGCCCTGCACAGCCTTTATGGATGTACCAAGTTGGGCTGTGTGTCCTGAGCATGCTTTTCTACTTGTCCCCCCAGCTAAGGGAAGGGGTGATGGAGTGAGTGACATCCTTCCCTGGAGCTGGAGGGGCTGCCTCTGGAAGGGCCTCTTGGTCACAGGAGCCCTCTCATCTCTTGCCCAGGTTGAATAAAGCCTGCCCAGTCAGCAGACAGGGGGATATATCGTTGGCACTTTGTCACTCTGAGGGGATGGTGTCATCATTTTCCTAGCATCACTGAAGCTGGGCTGAGGGTTCCTTGGGGTCTTCAGAGAAAGCGATGCTTTGGTGTCTGCCTGAGACCTAAACCCTCAGATGGGAAGTATAAAACCTCAGGTGGTGGCCCAGATGGTGACTGCTTGGCAGCTGGGGAAGAGGGAACATGTCTGGGAGTTGAAGTTGGGCACTGGGCATGGCCATCAGGTTGGAGGGAATGTAGGAGACCACAAGGCTCACCTTGAGGATGTAGTTCCCAGGCTGCACATCGGTTATGTCAATCCATTGGCAGTCGATGTCCGCATTATAGGTATCATAGCAGCCTGGGCTCAGGCCCTGGAAAAAGGGACCAGAGGAGAGGCTGTGGTGCTCGTCCCTCTGAGCCACCGCATACCCACATGCAACAGTCAGGAGCCTCCTTCCTCTGGCTTCTCCCCAGACCCTGGTCCATGGTGGGTCTGCCCTTTAACCTGAGGTCACTGGATGGATGGACACAGAGAAGACAGAGCTACAAAAGACACAGAGAGGAATGAAATGGAGTGGGGGGGATGCTTGGCAGGGATGGGTGGAGGAATGGATGAAAAGACAGATATGACAGACATTCTGTGCCCACTGGATGGACGGTTAGAAAGACAGCCCGATCTCTGTGTTCCCATGCCACCACCCAGCTGCCCTAGCCCAACCTGTGTGTGAGAGGTGCACGCATAGCGCTTGAGGTTGCCAAAGTCGCAGGTGCTGTCCTCCAGGCAGAAGCTGGCCTTGTGGCCCTCAGCCACCTTCTTGCCTGTGGCTGCGTCCAGCAGGTCATAGTGGCTGAATTCGTCCATGCTGTGGTAGTGTCTGGGGGCAGGGGAAAGGAGTAGAGGAAAGAGGTCTAGTCTTCCTGGATCTCCCAACCCGTCCCCTTGGGAGATGGGTCAGATGACATGTTGTGATGCAGTCTCCTGACCAGTCTGGGCTCTTCTGTGCCCCTGAATCCCACTCTGGTGCTCTCCACCTAGCCAGGTCACCCTCATATAATGCTGCCTCAAGATTCCTCACTTCCTTTTTAGGCTTCTTCCTGTACTGACTTCCACTGGGCAAGGCCCTGTATTCTAGACATTTCCATCCCTTACCAAGACCAATCATTCTATGGCCATCTTCCAGCCTAGTCTGGCTAAGGCTCCTCAGAGAAACGCGCCCAGTGATCGATTCTTGGCAGGAAACACCACGGTGAGGGAGGTGTACCTCCAGTGGGCACCTGCATGGAGCTCAGGTACCAAGGCCCCTGGCCCAGAGGAGGTGGAAGAGGCAGGTAAATCCTGCTCACTCACTGGTGGCAGCTGTGCCACTCCCAGGTATGCCGCGGCCTGTTGGGGAGGAAGTCTGCTGTGCCCTGGTTCTTCACGCGCTGGGGGAAGCGCAGCAGCACCCGCAGGTCATAGTCGGTGGCCTCAGGGGCATAGGCTGTGCTGTGGGAACAAATGGAGAGACAGGAGTGGGCCTGGGGCATAGGAACACCAAAACCAGAATGGCTGCATCAGGCCCTGCCCCCAGCCCTTGGCCACTAGTCCTCCAGGCCGACCTCCAGCCTCTGAAAATCCTAGCATCTGATCCTGAACTTCAGAGAGGCCCTGGCCTCTTCCTTTCTCCCAACTCCACAAAGGCCTGGCTCTCTCCTCCTGTCTGGCCTCTGCTGTGTGGCTGGAAGCTGCCCATGGGGTCTTACTAAAGTGACATTGGCCTAGCAATGAGCCTCTGAGGGTTCCTCATGCTTGTAGGTGACTCAGCTGGGGACAGCCCCTGGGGCCATTTAGAAATAAGCAACCCTACCCAGGAGATTCTTATAAGTCTTCCCTCCTCTGGACAGAGCCCTAACCCGTGACCCAAGAATGTGCTGTCTCCAGTATGAGCCTAAAAATCAGGCTTGAGCTCCTCGGATCAAATTCTTTGCACTTTGCCGCTTCCGTGTGTTGTCCTACTCCCACACACCCAGCTCCCTCTTTCTCCAGTTCATCCTTTGCCCATGCTCGTCATTCGGCCTAGAACTACAATGCACACCCAGCCCCCTAGGCCCACCTCAAGTCCCCTGCTCCCAGAAGTCTGCCATGATTGCCACACTTAGAGGAATCTGGACAGCCCCTGAGGTCCCACCTGCAGCACACCCTCATGCCACATGCATGCTGTGCTGGTTTAGGGGTAACCAGGTTTTACCTCTCCTTGATGGCATGGCTTCACGGCCAGCAACCTGCCCTTTTCCCTTCAGGGAGCATGGGTCTGGCACACACTGCCTGCTCACAATTCACTTGCTACTCCAAATTCCCAATGGAGTCAGGCTTTGTAGGAAGAGGAGAGAGGGCAGCAGTGAGAGGAGACGCACACATGCATGCACACATCCACATGCACGCGCACACACGTGCACATGGGGGCAGTAGGAACAAGAAGGTGGGCCGCCAGCTCCCCTCCCTGCAGCTGACTGCTGACAGCTGTCCTAGATGGCCTCAGGGGCGCTTCCCTGGCAATCACTAAGGTCTGAGTTGTAAGGCCAGAGGCGAGAGGTGGCCAGTTGTAGGGATTAGCTCTCTCTGAGAGTATGTCTGGACAGCAGGCAGTTCAGACTCCGTCTGCCAGGACGTAAGGCCCTCGGCCTTGTCTGGGGGAGGCTTGGAATCCATCTGTGTCTGGGTTGAAACAAAACATCCTCCTTCTCTGTGTTCGGTTAAATCCTGCCCTTCTGTTCAGCTCAGCACATCGTGGGAAACCATCAGGATCTAGGTTCTAGGCCCAGCTTGGCTGCAAGCTCACAGCGAGACTTGGAGCACATCCCTCTCCTGCTCTGGGTCCGGCCTGCAGTACGACCTGGCCCAAGTCTACAGCCTACACCGCAGACGATCTTGGAGGGCCTGTCTGCTTCAGGGCTCCATCTCTGCAGTATTTTCTGGGTCTGTAACCCTGTTCCCAGCCTCCCTGCAAAACCTCCTCGCTCTGACCTTGCCAGCCCCAGCCTGGGAACCATGTGTCTCAGCTCTCACCCTGCTCCTGCTGCCACAGGGGCATAGGCAAGGGGACACACTCTCCAGCTAGATCAGGAGGTCCCTCAGGACAGAAGGCAGGCTACCTCTTCCTTCCTGTCTGTGAGCTCAGGTCTGGGCACCTGGGGTGCTCCCTGAAGGTTGGCTTTGACTAAAACCCTTCTGAACTGCAGGAGCTGCCACCGAGGCCAGGAGTTCCTCATCACTGAGGGGACTGACAGCAGGAACATTATGCCCTCTTCCCTAGGACAACTGAATGAGAAAGACAAGACCTGAATGGGCAGGCTGACTGTGTGGTCCTGGGACCAGGGCCAGTTTGATGTGAGTCTGTGATAAGAAACTTTCACCAGAATGTAAATCAACCACACCACTAATCACTCTGGTTAGTTCATCTGACACTTTTCTTTTTCTTTTTTATGCAAGTCTTTCTCAATGAAGAAAGCAATAAACTGAGTTATGTTCTGGGGCAAGCTCTTTATCCTGTCACAGACGAGTAACAGTTTGTGATCAGCCACTCTGAGCGTCAGTGAACTAGAAGTTCTAGAAATGAGATAATGTTGAGATTCCGAAGGATTTCCTAGATAGTAAAAAGCAAAGGGAGAGTTCAAATATCAAAGTGAGTAATTCAAGGAAAACAGGTGCTTTCAACATGGATGTCAACAAAAACAATCTTTAGATTTTAGCAGAGGAGATGCCCCCAAACTCATGGTTGAGCAGAACATAAACCATTAATGTAGACGCAAGTTTTGCAGGAGGCAGAATCACCCTTGAATAAAGCAGAGTGGGCCAAGCTCACTGCCTGGGCTCGTGTGAACTGGATTCCTTTCCTTCTCTTAGTACAACACATAACAGGCCTCTGTCCTTTGCCCCTGCTGTGACCAAGCAGAGACAGCCTGGGCCAACCATAGGACACAAGTGTCCTCTGTGGACATGCTCCATAATCCTGCATTCCTTCTTGCAGGCCTGTCCACCCTACAGGACATTCCTGATCCTGTGTGAGCATAGAAACTTGGCTGTCCTTAAGGAGCCTTCCCATTGGGCAGCTCAGATCTGAATGGTTTAGTTGCTTTCTTTGTACCTCGTTTTCCAGATGGGTCAACACACACAGCAAAAGCAAAGTTCTTTGTATAGTGATGCACAGGCAGGTTGGCTGTCTGCTCATACCCTTCCCTGCCTGAATTCTTGCAGTGGGTAAGGCTCACAAATAAAGATGGCAAAGTCACTAGAGGCTAGGGCACTTGGTCAGGGTCATGAGTCTTGCAGGCAGCCTTGTGTGAGTGCTGGTTCTGGGTGATTCCCAGGGACTGTCCTGAGGCTCGACACTTCCTCTTTGTCTCCTTACCTGGCCAGACACTTCTCTTCTGCAGCACAGCGCAGGGAGTAGAGGTGGGCTCTCTGCACGTAAGTGGATGCCTGCACATAGTTGGGGTCCGGAACCAAGTCAGGGAGACCTGGAGTAGGCAGTGGGAGAGAGGGAGGAGGGAGGCATTGAGAAGGTCAGGCTGTCCACTGCTAATGCCCGGGGACCTACCCCACCCCAACCACCTGTTGCCATTCTCCCTGGGCAGAGGATCCTGGGTCCAGAAGATGGGTCTGAGAATTTGGGCAGCAGGCGGTCACCCCTAGAGCTCTGTGTTGTGAGAGCCACTGAGATCTCCTGGAAGAACTGGGACACAGACAAGAACTGGGAGGCAGGGTGGAATTTGGAGCGTTAGAAAGGGAAAAGGTGTTCTTGGCAGGGACAATGGCCTGGCATGAGCAAAGGCCTGGAGGCAGGACTGAATCAACCAAGTAATTTCCTGACAGAAGCACTCCTTCCATGTCCTTATTCCCCAGGCCTCAGAAACCAGCCCCCAAATGCCCTCTGCTTCTCTCACCTTTGCAGCCAGCTTCCTTTGTGAACCACCAGAACAGCCCTGGGCTTCTGGCCCAGAGTGAGCCCCAGAAGGCTTAGGGCCAGAGCCAGGTGGATGTTGGCTGGCAGCAGGTGGTGGGCAGGAAGGGACGGGTGGGAAGGAAAACAGTTCCCCAGAGCAAGCTGCTGACCAGGCAGGATTCTGAGCCACTCCAAGATGCTTCCCTCCTGGCATGGCCCCTGTTCCTGTCTCCCCTCACCTGCTACTACTCCTGGCCATTAGCCCCCCAGACCTGCCCACACCCTCCCCTGTCTGCAACATCTGGCTTCCAACTGAAGGAGGCCCCAGCTCCCTTCCTGTTCCAGCCCTTGTGACCACTCCTTCCTCAGGCTGTGCCAGAGCCAAGGGTCTGTGCTTCCTGCCCTGGCCCCCTCCACCTCCCCTGCCGTGCATGGATTAGTCCCAGTTAATCCAGTTATTATTAGGAACAAGTAGAAACCAAACTCAGGTGTCCAGACCCCATCTGGCAGTGGAATACAGAATGGTCTCTCTCTCTCTCTCTCTCTCTCTCTCTCTCTCTCTCTCTCTCTCTCTCTCTCTCTCTTTTTTTTTTTCCTGTCCTGGGGTTGAATCCAGAGCCCTGCAAATGCTGGGAAAAGGCTCTACCACTAAGTTACATCCTAGTCCTTTTAAAATTTTTATTTTGAGACAGGGTCTCACTCAATTGTTTAGGCTGGCTTTAAAATTCTCTTGCCTCAGTCTCCTGAGTTGCTGGGATCACAGGTGGGCACCACTGTGCCCAGATAGAAAAAATGATCTTTTGATTTGTTTTTGGTACTGGGGATTGAACTCAGGGGCACTCAACCATTGAGCCACATTCTCAGCCCTTTTTATATTTTATTTAGAGACAGGGTCTTGCTAAGTTGCTTAGAGCCTCGCTAAGTTGCTGAGGCTGACTTTGAGCTCACAATCCTCCTGCCTCAGCATCCTGAGCTGCTGGGATTACGGGCGTACACCACCGTGCCTGATGATAAAACGATCTTAATGTTGGGAGGGATGGGTGGGGGCAGATGGTCAGTGCCATGCACTCTATTCTAGTTTGGCCACTGGCTTAAAAGGGAATCATCCTGGTACTTCCAAGTCCCTTTTCTCAGGCCTCAGGGACTCTGTCGGACTAGTGATGACAAGAGGCTGTAAGTCCTTCTTGGTTTCTTTGAGCTCTCTGCTCTTGGACTTGAAATGGAAGGAGAGACCAGAAAGGGGATTTTAGCCTGTGGGGAGCTCTCAGTCCTCCTTCTTGCTGTCAAAACCCTCCCATCAGCTCAGGCTCAGACATTAAGGCCAAGGAAGAGAAGTCCTCTAAGCCTTTGACAGAGGTGTTTACCTGCGTGTACACAAACCCTGGGCTCCCAGACCCTAGCCCTGCTCTCCCTTGGGCCTGGGCCTCCTGGGGGAGCCCAAGCTAGGCAGCCAGGGTGATCTCACCTACTTGGAATGGAGAGGAAACTTGGAGTACAGGGTGGGTGAGGATGAGGTGGCTCCTGGCTATTGGGGGACCTCTTGGCTAGTCTAGGTCCCATTACTCGAGCCCCCTGGAATGTTTGCAGTCATTTCCCAAGGGATCCTCCTCAGGCTCTCAAACCAGCTGGGAGCTAGTTCTTACCCTCTGGTTCCTGGAAGCTTCTGGAGGAAGGGTGAGAGGGAGAGGGACGGTCCCCTTCTCTATTGTCCAGTGCCTCAGCAATAGACAGGGGTGGGGCAACTTGTGCTGGAGCCTCATGGGACCCAGCATTCAGCACCAGACAGTCTGCCGCCCCCACCCCAGGCCCGGTTTCAATAAATACTGCACAGATGGCTCCGCAAAGCTTTTCTGGCCTGACCCTTCCTCCCCAGGCCGTTTCATAAGCTGGCTCTGCAATCTGAGGGTGTTGGGAGAGACACAGTGAGAGGCCACCAGGGGTACTTGGAGCCTGTGATATCAGTTTCTGACCATGGTCATAGGCTAAACCCTGACTGTGGCCACACATGGAGCCCTGCCCCTGGTCCCACACCAAGGCCTGACCCTGGAGATACAACTGGGCCTTAACTCTGGCCACACACTGAGACCTGGCATCTACCAACAACTCTGAACGTCAGTCTTACTATCCCCGGTCTCTGTCCACGGATCCTGGGCTAACACTCTGTATTTTTAAAAAAGAAGAAGAAAGAAAATGAAAAAAACGAAACAAAACCTTAAAAAGGAATTTGCTTTAACTACTTCTGTCCTTTCTTATTAAACCAGAGTGGGTGGATTTGTTGTAGGGGCCACAGCTGTCAGGGAGGGGCGCTTGTACAGTACTACATGTGGGGATGTGGGGGACAGACCAAGGACACACAGCTCAGGGATGCTGGCCACAGTTTGAGCCCTAACCCTGGCCATAGACGGTCATCTTCTTCCTCCCACTGTTGGGCAAACACAGGCTCAAGCAGAGGCCTCCTGCTCCAGGAAGTCTTCCCTGATTGGCAGTGACAGTCCAGGCCATACACATTTGTCCTCTCACTACCCATGGTATTGATCTATAATTAGATGTAATCATATTCACCCACGTCTCCTCCCCTCCAGACTGAGGGCTCCCTGAGGGCAGGGCCTCAGTGACAATTCACAGTGCTCAGGAACTCTGGCTTTGGGTCTTACTGAGTGACCCGAGCCCCCTTGGCCTGTCAGGCAAGCTTCTTTAGTGATTAGGCTCCCTATGTTACTGTTCTAGGCATCCATAAGTGTGCTCCACCTGTAACCTCAAGATACCGGGGTACATGATGCTTTGGGAAATGTAGAGGAAACAGGCTCAGAGAGGGCAATGAATTTGCCCACAGTCACCCAGTCAGTCAGGGCAGCCCCAGGAGGAGATCCTAGGACCTGACTCTCTTCCAGGACTCGAATTATTCTTTCTATAAAAATGAACATCTTTAAAGGTATAAGCTATACACAGTCAAATACACAGGTTTTAGGAGCACAGTTGGTAAGTTCTAGCAGATGTTTATGCTGTGTACCCACTATCCCTATAAAGCTAGGGATTGCCACCACCATCTCTACTGTTCTTTTCCAGGGAAACCCTCCCTCTCTGCCACCCAAGGCCATCATTGATCTGCTTTCTAATGACCATATATTTTTCTAGTATCTAAACAAAATTACTCTAACCATTATCTGATCATTTTCTTTCTGGCCACCACCAGGTCCTACTGTGATGCCCTCCCCTAGGTCCCCACATCACCCCTGTCATACCCTCATTGCCCTGGGAATTCAGGCTGAGTGCCCCCACCTCACCCTCTGATCCCCTGCTGAGGTCCCAGGGAACAACAGGCCCCCTCCCTCTGCTGGTATGTTTTTCCAGGAGGGAACAATGCCTCCTTCTCCCTGCCGTTCTCCCCAGTTCTCCCCAGGGACATTCCGTCAGCAGCCAGGCCTGCAGGCTTGGGCTTGGGCGTGAGGTGGGGGGGCAGGGTTGATGTTGGAAGGGGATGAGGGAAGGCTTGAGTGGCGCTGGTAGGCATAGGGCTGGGGGGAGCAGTCTGCTGTTGCTGGCTTGTGGGGACAACCACACCCTCCAGGCAGGACGGTCAATATGAAGTTGTAATCAGACTGTGTGATCAACCCTCATTCCAAGAAATGCACATTTTAAAGAAAAATCCTGTGGAGTTGGGGGGCTTTGCTTGCTCCAAACAGTGGAGGATCATCAGTCATCACGGTGTAATTTTGAGGAGGAGCTGGGATCACTTTTCCAGCATACAGAGTCATCCAACCCTCTGGCCTGGAACAGGAGACTGCAGAACTGTGGGTTCTGGGGAGTTCTTTTCCCTGAGACTCCTGTATTTATTAATGTAGAGAACTGAGTTAGTCATAGTTCTCAGTTCAGAGCAAACTAAGCAGTATCCATGGTCCACTCACGTAAGGCTTCCCTCTCATCTTACTGATTTTCGCCTTGACCCTCACCCTGACTCTCAGACATGCCCCTGAACACTGGTGACAACATACGGATCTGTGGTGCATTTGAGATGGGCATGCATTTTTTTTTTTTTTTTGGAGAGAGGCTACTGGGAATTGAACTCAGGGGCACTCAACCACTGAGCCACATCCCCAGTCCATTTTTGCATTTTATTTAGAGACAGGGTCTCACTGGATTGCTTAGCAAATTGCTTTTGGTTGAGACTGTCTTTGAAATCTTGAACCTCCTGCCTCAGCCTCCAAAGCCATTGGGATTATAGGTGTGCACCACCATGCCCAGCTCAGATGGGCATGCATTTTTAAAGTCTATAAATGAGTCTCACAGAGCTCATGCTTTCTTGATTTTGCAGTTAATGTAAACTTTTGAGGCCTTTCAAGAAGGTTTGTGGCCTGTCATTGCTAAACAGGAGCCCACAGGGTGCCTCTCCATATTCCATCTAGTCAGTGTCCTGGAGGGACACCCAGGTGGCCTTTGACCCCCTGTTCTGCACTCAGGCTGAAGCAGCTAGCGGCTTGGCATGTGCCTCCTGGGCTGGTGAGGACAGATATCACTCTCTTCTTAACCCTGGGTCACGGTCAGCCTTGCTCAGCTTCCTTCCAAGCTCCCAGAACC